AAAACCCTAAACCCTAAAAATCCCTAAACCCTAAAAAACCCTAAACCCTAAAAATCCCTAAACCCTAAAAATCCCTAAACCCTAAAAATCCCTAAACCATTAGGGTTTTGTTGGGGTTTTCATCTTTTGCATTAGGGTTTTGAAGGTGTTTCCTGTTTTGGGATTAGGGTTTTGGAGATTTTTGCATTTAGGGATTAGGGTTTGGCGTTTCATGGTTTAGGGCTAAACCGGATTCTCCGGCGGGGGGGCGCAGCCCCCCCTCCGGAGACGCCTCCCCCCCGCAAAAGAGAGTATAGAGTATATCTTTTCTTGCAACACACGGCTTCCCGACAGCCCGGCGGCCCAGCACAAGCCTTTAGGACAAATGCATCGCGCATGATAGTGGTCTGCGCTGCGTAGCTGCAAGTCCTGAAAACCCTAGCCTGGAATTCGAAAGTTACAAGTCTGCACAATCCGCACAGAATCGCATTCGCGACTCTTGTGGAAGCCGTCTCCGAAATGGCTGGAAAATTGCGCCGCAAGCCTAAAGCCTCCTCTAGCCGCCTACTAAGGCTTCAAAGCTGAAGATGGCTCGTCTCAACATCTCCTGACTGCCCTTTTCTAAACGCTCCGGATGCCCAGTATGTATAGATAGCATCCGCTACATTGTACCCACCCAACGTTTCTTGAAGTACCCGTAAGCCGTACGCGTCTGAAAGTTGCAGTAGTAGCACGAGTAATAGTGTACACATTGCCCTTAAGGAGGCTCCTCTCTAGGTAGTTGTTGGTCAACGTGTATACCATATAAATACATGGAGCATTCCGGGCTGCCAGCAGCCCATTCTTCTTCTATCAAGTCAATGTGATGTTCCTATCAAATTTGAAGGTTCAATAAATCCTATCGAAATAGATCAAAAACATTTATGCAATCATTTGATTCTCCGATATCGTGATCATCAAACCCTTGTAGCATGAGCCTATAAGCCCGAAACCCTAAATCATGGAGCCTCAGACACCAAAAACAAGCCTTGGAATGAACCAAATAGGTCAAATTCCTTGTAGAATGAGCCTATAAACCCTTTTGCCACTGGACTGAGGTCTAGCCTTCGGTCAACAAATCTTTCGGTCAAAACGTTATTGGGACCCAAACTCTCTACAGTTTCTGTAAACCCTCAACCTTTTAAACGGATGTAAATAGTACCTGTTTTGGGAGGGGCCTGAAGTCCATGAATAGTACCTACTTTGGGGCCTAAAGTCTATGACAGGTACCTACTTTGGGCTATCTGGAGCCCTAGGGCCAGCAAGCTTTGAGTCTCTTCGAACGTCTCTTACACAACGCTGCTGAACGCTCAGGGGTAGGCTTTCAGCAGGCTGGCGAAAAAAGGGTTGAGGGTTGGGTTTTGGGTTGGGGTTTGAGGGCTTCAAGCACTGAGGCCCCCTCGAGCCTGGCTACTTCAGGGGTTTATCGTATAGGGGGTTTATCGGGGGGTTTAGAGGGGGGCTGGGCTTAAACTTCCAATTATCAAATTTAGTGGGTACTGTGCGGGTTTTGGAAGAATAGGGCTAAACTCTAGTCCCTACACTCCAATCCCTAAACGCAAGTGTTGCAGCGACTCCAAACCTTTCAGCCCAATATTGCTGGGGCTAAGAAAACAACGAATTCCTTAGGCACTCTTAGTCTGGCACCCCCCCCCCCTTTTTCAACTTCTGAAGATTCTGACTTCAGCTAAGCAAATCTCAAGAAACCGGCAACTGGATGTCATGCAGTCTTCCTTCTCTACTGCGGTTAAATCCTGCATAACCCCATATATACTATACTACCGCAATTCCCAGGCTTTCGGTATATTTAGGCATGCAGGATTTATATCATCAACAGCAAGATTACAGTTTAGCATTAGATATTCAGCCAGCACGTGTGGGGTGTGCCTGAGGCTCCAAACCTCGTACTGCAAAGCTGGAGCTCGTTGCCAACCTGGCGGGGATGGTTCAAGTCGCACGTTGAATAATCCAGGACTACCATGTATGGCTGCACACGTTCGATTCTTAAGTGTTGCTTTGTTCTTGACATGTTGCTCCCCCAAACACCCCTTCGCACGCCGCCCCATGAAACATCGAACTGCCAATGCCTGCCGTCACAGCGCTCTCTTTTCTTTGCACCGCCTCCGAAGGTCCACTCACAACTGCATGCGAGAGTCAACTCTGACTGTACAGGAGTGCCTGTCCTACCAGCAGCTGCAAGCCTTCTCCAAAAGAATCTTGTCACGTGCGAATGAGATGCACGTACATGCTGCCTTTCTGGCGAAAAGCTGTTGCACGATCTAGTGCGCGTGAGAAGCTGCAGCTGCAAAGCCGTTCGATCTTTCTCTGTCGCTCTCTCTCTCTCTCTCTCGTTTGCTCTGGATTCATTGTGCCTCTACTGGTAGTTTCCGAAATTTGTTGAACGCTAAGAAGCCTCCTACTTCAGTGCTTGTTCCATCAGCACCAAGAAAGCCTGTTCGGAAACTCTTCGCCAGCATCCCAACAAACTGCACAGATCGGGACACGCCGTGGAGCCTACCACCTGCAGCCAGAGGTTAAGTGCCTGAAAGCTGTCGGTCAATGCGGGTCAAGACCTCTAATGCACCCAGCCCTCCGATGGATACGCTCCTCGCTTTCAAGGACTGGGGCACATCGCTATCATCCCAATTGATTCGAATCATTTTTGCGTTCGGGTAGTCCTCCAAGACTCGCTCGGAGTGATGGCGGATAGTTGGCACTGCTTTGCCCGCTCCAACTTCAACTACCACCAGGTTTGCAGAGGGAGGAATCTGCCCCAGCCAATCCTGGAAAGCACGCCTCTGCTGACAAATGACGGCACAGTTTACGCCCCGGTCACCGAACATGAGGACGTTTGGTCGGGCTGGTTTCTTCTCTGGACTCAAAGGCAGAGGCGAGGCAGGAAATGTCCTGAGGAGATCTGGACCGTCCTTCCGGCGCACGGCCTCAGCCGCAACTGGGCGCCCATTGACCTTTGCTGGCATACATTGGGGCTATAGGGATTATATAGGGATTTCACAGGGATAATCTTGGGATTTTAAAGGAATTATCTTGGGATTTTATAGGGATCATATGAGAATTCTGTACAGTAGGGATTATGGAGGGGTTATTATATGGATTATATGCGATTATATAAGGATTATATTCCCTAGTCCTACTAACCCCCAGTAAGTGACCTCCAACGAGCATCCATCTTCCTGCACAACTGCTTCTGCCTCGCCACCAGAATATCGTACGATGACCTGCTCTCCCGGAGACAGGTCCCATTCTGGCACGGCTATTTTGGCGATTTCCTCGGGATCAGTCCTCCAGATTTTCCCTTCCGGGTCCGTCGCCCATATGCTGCCATGATCGTCAACGCATTGCATCCGCGTGAGTGCTCCATGGCATTCGTAAAGCTTCTTTTCGCCAATGCCTTCTGTACGTTCCCAGTGGCCATCGATGTTCGACGTCACCGAGAAGCACCCATATCTCATCATCTGGCCCCATTGTGAAAGAAGCCGGTAACCATCATGCGGCTTGCCAAGCGTGTAGGCATCATGCCGGAACTTCCAGAAAGCCCAGGCCAAGCGTGGGTCGCAATCAAAAAACACTGGCTGCGACATCTCGCTGAAGTCCATCCTCATGGCTTTCAGCTGTGGCCAGACGCCTGCGTAGCGGCCACGGAAAGTTCCCAAGCCTGAATCTACCCCCATACCTGCGCCAGTGCAGATTAAAAGCGCATCTGCCGTGCCGAGGGCTGCAGAAGCCTTGGCAGAAGCTGCCTGGATTTTGGAAACCAACTCCGGATCCACCGACATGAGCAGAGAGGACTACAGGAGTACTGGCCTCAGCTCCAGACAATCTGAAAGAGGGCGTCGGCAAGTACCACTTAAATGGCTTCAACTCTTGCTGCAGTGAACAGCCTGTCGCTTCCCTACTCCAGCAGCGAAACACAACGCGCTGCATACCCTACATCCACCCAAGCCTGTCTAAAACCGTACTGAGAACGCGGTGACATGCTCCAAACATGGAGGGCGCACCGTCAGGAACTCGCGAACGATGATGTAGCACAGTCCGATGAGACAGAAGAAGGGTGCGACTGATTTTCTATACTGACTGGGTGGACGTTGGGGCGCATAAGCTTGGTTGTAGTATTTGCCGTAATAATAAAAGAGAGAAGGACATGTCGGACTTCAAGAAGGTATATATTTAATGTAGAAACGACTTCATCGCATACTAGTTGGCATGTTCTTGTCGTATTGTCCTCGCGAGACCCTGCGAAGCATACACAGCCCGCTGCGCGTGTGAGGTAAACTGTGGGCGACTGTGATCAAGAATGTAGAGACTGCAAGGGAAGGCTGTTCCTGAGCATTCAGGCTCCCATGTTGGGGTTTAGGGGTGAGGAATTGGCATCTACCGCCCTCAAACGGGAGCAGGGTTCAGGGTTTATGTTGACCAAAGCAACCTTTCGCACAGGTGGGGCCAACAAAAATTGTTGCCTGCCTTTTCTTCAGGAAATTAGCTGTAGGAAGCGTCAAGCCCCTCGCCCCTAGACCCTTGCAACCCTCCCCAAACCCTCAAGCTCTCTCTCCTTACAGTTGAGGAAGGAGCTGAAAAAAGATGGCAAGAAGTTGCTACAGGTACTGCGTTCCGAGGCTATTGGAAGGCTTTCGGCCTACACTCACCCAAACCAACATGGAAACTAACCCACAGAGCCGTCACAGAGACGTTTACTTATTAAAGGGACTGTAGTCTTCATGGGGCTCATTTGGGCTTCCGGGAGGCCAGGATTTTGTTAACAGGGCTTCTGGGCTTTTGTGGGGCTCAGGGCTACCCCCAGGACCCACTAAACCGAAACCCGAAGCCCCAGCTAACCCCGAGTGCGGGGGAGAGAAACGGAACTCATTTTGCAGAGTCCGTAAACCCTTAACCCCAAAATCCTGAACCCTCTGAAGCCCCTCAACTCTCAACCCCAAGGAAAGGCAGGTAAACGTCCTTGTTTTTGGCAGGACGGTGGCATCTGCACTCGTACCTGGATGTCAGTCATCACATGCCGACAGCTCTGTCTGCCACCCGGGCAGGGAAATCTCATCTTGCGCTCTCCCAAAAGGTAGCTGGGCCCTCTAATCCGTGCTTATGATGCTAACCGTAGTGGCAACCGTAATGATGAACATATTAACCGTACTGGCTAAGCAGTGGAACTCCCTGAGCCGGGCTTACTTTTTCAGGGTGGCTTACCTAGACTCCTACTTAAGCTTTACATGGCTCTTCGTGCCAAGAAACAGCCTCCTGCAAGAAGCTGCAAGGCGGATAAATGTCCACCGGAATCTCTCAAGCTTGGGCCGATTTTGGGGACATGAATCACGGTCCAAAACTACGGAGACGTGCGGACTCGCCAACCGCCAACAACATCAACGCTGCCAGACCAGCTTCGCCGCCTAAACAACCCCCCCCTTTACCCTGAACCCTAAACTGAGTGAGCCCGGGGCCGTCGAGCAGGGCGAACACGCCGAAGCCGGCAGGCGAGCCCTCCAGCGGGCGACGGAGCTCCAGTCCCGCAGGCCGCTACGGGCTGCGCGGTGGACCCGGCAGGTCGCTGGCGAGAAACCCATCAGGTCAGGTCGCCCTAGAATAAGATACCCCAACCTCTCTTTCGGAGGTCTCAGAGGACCCTTCAAGAGGGTGTGGTTTTTCGTGGCCTGGGAGGGAACTGCATGGGAGGCCACGGTCCGCCTGGTCCTTCTGCCCCTCCCCTCCGCTGCGTCCCCTAACCTAGGCCTTCTTCTGGCTGACAGTAGGTAAGCGAGGACAATTGAGACTGAACTGCCAGAATTACAAAAATCATAATAATCGAATTTGATGCCTTGAGCATGGTTTTCACGGGTGTCTTTCAAATGCCCTGACTAAAAGGTTGGGATGCCGTCGCCGTCGCTTGCTCAAAAACCCCTGCCAAAGCCTCCGACCAAGAGACGTCCAATCTCCTACCAAACTCACTAAACGTTTAACGGACGAGGGTGGAAAGTGGGAATTTCGGGCGCTAGCCCGAAACCCTAAAAGGAGAAAAGTTGGGTGGATGCCTGCGTAAGCAGGGGGTGGGAAAATAGAAAAACCCAACCTTTCTGGTTGTGATGGCTCCAACTTCAATATATGCCGCCGCGACATATGCCGCCCCCTCACACACCCTGGGTGTGTTCGGGTGCCATCTCCGCGTGAGATTTACTGCCGCGGCGCGGCGAGAAGCCACAAACCCTAAACCTTAAACTCAAAAGCATAAGCCTGTGTGGCTTATGCCTTCTCACGCACAGGAGCGTATGACACCCGTACGGGAAGCGAACAACCGACTTTCTAGTCTTACCTAGAGGTAAATGGTAATTATGGAACATAATAACAGCCATTTACTGTGTAAGTGCATTGTCTGTATACAAATATTCTTTAATATTCTACCAGACAGTACTGTCAATACTAATACAGTAGTATTTAAGGCCCTACAGGCAGCCTCCTAACGTCGGTTCCAAAAATGGACCCTCGAGTGCTCGTGGCCAGCCAAAGGCCTGGGGCCAAAAAATGCTCGAAAACACCTTCTAAGGTCTCGAGTGCTCGTGGGTTGGGCCAAAAATTACAGTGGCCTCTTTCAGTAAGCTCTTTCGAAGGTCTAGCCCTCCTAAGCCCCCCCCCCCTCCAGGGGACTTAGAAAAACAGTCCCCCGAGTGCTGGTGGCCAGCCAAAGCTTGGGGCCAAAATTATTCCAAAACAGTGCGTCTCGTGGCTGGCCAAAGGTCTGGGCCAAAACTTACTCCAACACAATGCGGGATACCTGGGGAGGGGGTAGACCACCCTAAGCCCCCTTCCAGGGGACTTAGAATAACGGACCTTCGTGGCCAGCCAAAGGCTTGGAGCCAAAAATTACTCCAAAACAGCGCGTTTCGTTGCTGGCCAAATGTCTGGGGCGAGAAATTGTTCCAAAACAGTGCGTTTCTCTTCGTTTGGGGTACCCAGGAGGGGAAGCGACGTCGAAAAACCGATTTTCTAGTTTTGCCTACAATTAAATGGAAAATCTTGGACATAATTACAGCCATTTATTGTGTAAATGCATTCATTGTCGGTGTACAAGTACAGCATAAGCCTATGTGCCAGCTTATGCCTTCTCAGGCAGGAGCGTAAGACACCCGTACGGGAAGCGACCAACCGACTTCCTAGTTTTACTTAAAGGTAAATGGTAATTATGGAACATATTACGGCCATTTACTGTATAAGTGCACTCATTGTCTGTGCACAAATATTCGTTAATATTTCTACCAGACAGTACTGTCAATATTAAGGCAATAGTATTGTGCGTTCTCCTCTTCGTGTGGGGTACCCAGGAGGGGAAGCGACGAAGAAAAAGCTATTTTCTAGTTTTGCCTACAATTAAATGGAAATTCTGGAACACAATTGCAGCCATTTGTTGTGTAAGTGCATTGTCTGTGTACAAATACAGCATAAGCCTGTGTGCCAGCTTACGCCTTCTCACGCACAGGAGCGTATGACACCCGTACGGGAAGCGAACAACCGACTTTCTAGTCTTAATTATGGAACATAATTTCAGCCGTTTACTGTGTAAGTGCATTGTCTGTATGCAAATATTCTTTAATATTTCTACCAGACAGCACTGTCAATATTAAGGCAATAAATTCAAGACCCTAAATAGAGGGTAAACCCCCCCTAAGCCCCGTCGGCGTGAAGGCTCTTCGTCAGAAGATCCAATGATTGAGGAAGCTCTTGTGGAGGACATCGTCAGAACAGATTCGAAGGCTGCCACGCCCGACGTACAGTTCGTTGGTTCCACTACTGCTCGCGAGGAATGCAAGTTCGAAGCATTGAAGTGCCTGACACAAGTCGGCCGTGCGAGCAAAAGGTCTGTGATTGCGATGAAATTAGACAACTTTCTTTCAAACAGTACTGTCAGTACGTACGCAATGATATTTAAGGTACTAACACAATAATATTCAAGGCCCTTGTGTCTGGCCTTTCTAAGCTCTCAAGCTTGTTACAACAGCTCTGGGCGGCATCCTGGGTGGGATATAGTAGAGCTCCATGTACATGACGGAACCCTTTGCGCTGAAGATTTCTGACGTCCGTCTCCCTTTCACACACTACGCATGGTTGGACGACAAGCCCCAAACCCTAAACCCTAAACCCCTAAACCCTAAACCCCTAAACCCTAAACCCCTAAACCCTAAACCCTAAACCCCAAACCCTCAGCCCTAAACCCGTCCGCGCCCCCTCTCAGCTCTATTGGGGTAGGCGGGCGCAGTCGAGCGCTCAGGCTCTGCTTGAGCTGCGCCTCACCCCTGAGGGGTCGCCAAGCTTGGTCGCCAAGCATAGTTAATGCAGATATATATATAATTACCCTAAAACCCGGGGGGGGGGGGGTCTCCCTCGCCTTTTGGGGCTGGTCTTAAACCCTTCCAGAAGGCAGGGGGACCTTAAACCCTCCCATTAACCCGTAGGCCGGGGCCCTTAAACCCTACACTTTCTTGCGACTTGTTTTGCCACACAGTAAGTACAGCCCTCACGCATGGCATGCTACACAGTAGCAGTGCAGCCCCGAGAGGCCAAAGGCACATTGGCGAGGGCTGGACACCCGCTGCGCCCACTACAAGGCCTTAAACCCTTCTAGTAGCCGGGGGACCTTAAACCCTCCCAGTAAGCAGGGGGCCTAAACCCTTCCAGTAGGTAGGGGACCTTAAACCCTCCCAGTAAGCGGGGGGCTTAAGCCCTCCCAGTCAGCAGCGGAGTCTTAAACCCTCTAAGCAGCGGAGCCTTAAACCCTCCCAGT